GACAGATATTGGTAGAACAGCACGTGGAACTCCAAGATGTAGGCGGCGTGGAGAAAAAAAATATAACCATGGCTGGAAGCCCTCCCTGGAACCCCAGCAAATCCTGATCCGTGTAGTTGACAAGGCCATCTCCGACTTGTGCGATGGCAACGTCGACACATGACCGCGCGAACCGCAAAGCATGCCGAGGCACAAGCATGTGAGCGACTAAACTACACGTATCGCGATGATTGCTTTTCTTGGAGGGCAACGAAGATCAACGGCAGACCGGAAATGGACCCGGCCATTGACACCGTCGTCAACCCCAATAAACCCCTATAAGGGCAATTCACAAGGCGAGCACTTTTGCGCACCACCAGGCCTCCGCCAATGAAAACACATGGGAAAATCCAATCCGTTGAAAATGATGGTCAAATTTACGCGTAGCCTCAAAGTCCACCGGGATCCGAACTTGGTGGGTGCCAGAGGAGCAAGGAACTGGTTTTCGCGCGGCCGGTGCCATTGGAAGGAAGGGTCAGCAGGTGCACATAAGGAACGCTATGTGTGGGTGCACAGAAGGAAGGCTCTGCTGCTCTCAAGTGTTTTTTGGATGAGAGCACGCACAAAAGAAAGGGTAGTGGTGGATGCACCACCTTACAAATCGGCGCAAAGCGACCCCAAATTGACCCCTATAAACATCGATTCTCCCCATTGTCAAAGCGAGCTCGTGCGGTGTTCCAGTCACAGCTACAAGTAGAAGAGCTCGTGGAACTCGTACATCTCCGCGACGCGGACAAGAAAAATGTAGAAATGGATGAAAGACCCCCCCTGCAACCCTTACAAACCCCGATTCGTCTAGTCGACAAGGCGACCCCCGATTCGCGCGCTGACAATGTCGACGTGTGACACCGCGAACCGGAAAGCACGCCGAAACACGAGCATGTCTGCGACAAGACTCCACTCACCGGGACGGTTAAACCCCTTGGAGGGCAACAAAGATTGACGGCAGACTGACAACGGACCCAGCCACTGTCACCGACGACAACCCCCATAAACCCCTACAAGGGCATTTCACAAGGCGAGCAATTTTGCGCACCCCCTGTCCTCTCACAATCAAGTCACATGCTAAGGTCCAGGCCTCATGCAAAGGACAATTAGAATTGTGCGGATCCTCAAATTCCGCCGGGATCCGAACTTGGCGGGTGTCAGTGCAGCGAGTAACAGGTTTTCGCGCGGCTGCAACTATTGGAATGGGTGGTTGGCGGTTGCACAGAAGGCAGGCTATGCGTGGGCGCACTGCATCTCGGAACGGCTCATCGCTGCCCACAACCGACCCCCACAAACCCCGATTATCTGTGCCGTCACTTCGGATTCTGTGGCATGAAATTTGTCCGAATTAGCGCGGGAATTCGGCCGCTTGCAAGTCCGGATCGCGACGAACTTCGAGGTCTGCATCATGTTCGCCACATCAGGGGTTCCAATGATCGTACGAACACGTTCGTCGTTGTGTCTGCTGAAGCTGGCAATAAAACCAAACTGCAAGTGGCCACAGTCATGCGATGCCTTGCACTGCGGGCAGTGCAACCAAAATCCACATTACACCCAAACTGCAAGCGGCCGCAGTCGTATTCTGGAACGCCTGAAAACCCCGTTTTGAAGCGTCGAATCGAAGAGCACGTGGGACTCCAAGTTCTTTGCGGCGTGGAAAAGAAAACTAGGACCATTGCTGGCGGACCCCCCTGCAACCCCAACAAACCCCGATTCGTGTAATCGACAAGACGAGCTCCGATTCGCACTCTGCCAACGTCGACATACGACAGCGCGAACCGCGAAGCATGTCAGCGACCAGATTGCACGCATCGCGATGATGACACCACTTGGAGGGAAAGGAAGACCGACCGCAGAACGAAAACGGAGCCGGCCACTGACACCGCCGACAACCCGCACAAACCCCTATAAGGCAATTCTAAAAGCGAGCACTTTTGCGCACCCAAAGACCTCTGATAATGAGAACACATGCGATAGTCCAGACCGTTGAAAAGGGCGGTTAAATTTACGCGGAACCTCAAAGTCCGCCGGGATCCGAACTTGGCGGTTGTGGGAGTGGCGAGGAACCGGTTTCTGCGCGGCATGTCGGATATTGGAAGGGCGGGTCAGGAAGTGCACAGAAGGAACGCTATGCGTGGCTGCACGGTTAGGGAGGCCCTGCTGCTGCTTACTAATGTCTGTTGGACGAGAGCACGCACAGAAGAAAGGCTAGTCGTAGGTGCACCACGTTAGAAATCGGCGCAGCGCAGCCCCCAATAGACCCCTATAGACACCGATTCTCTCCATCGACAAAGCGAGCTCGTGCGGTGATTCAGTCACAATTATTGTGATCCGCGATGACATTGACAGTTATCAGCAGTAGAGTGGGTGGGACCCCAAGTTCTTTGCGGCATGGAAAAGAAAAATATGACCATGGTTGGTGGACCCCCCTGCAACCCCATCAAACCACGACTCGTCCAGTCGACAAGGCGAGGTCCGATTCGCTCACTGCCAACGTCGACATATGACAGCGCGAACCGCAAATCACGCCGAGACACGGGAATGTCAGCGACCAGATTGCACGCATGTCGATGACGACACCACCGTCGGCAACCCCCTTAAGCCCCTATAAGGCAATTCTCAAGGCTAGCACTTTTGCACACCCAAAGGTCTCTGGCGACCAAAACACATGTGAAAATCCAGGCCGTCGGAAAGGGCGGTTAGATTCACATCAAACCTCAAAGTCCACCGGGATCCGAACTTGGCGGTCGCCGGAGTAGCGAGGAACCGGTTTCGGCGCGGCAACTCGCATATTGGACGGACTGGTCAGCGGGAAACACGACGGTGGAGTTATTTCGTGCGCGGTTGCAGAGGTCGTACTGTTGGACGAGCGGCTTCTGAAATCCACATCTAAGCGTCTGTGGACCGAAGCAAAACCCTTTGTTAAGTACCCTCAAACAACCCCTACGAACCCCAATTATTCCCACGGACAAGGCGAGCTCGCATTCGGGCAATGGTAGGTTTTACAGCCAGGACCATGGGGTTCAACGAAATTCGCCAAGATCCGAACTTGCCCGCGGCTTCACAGAGCGACCACGAACGGGTGCCAACCACGAAGTCCGCCCGGATCCGAACTTGATAGGGATTGGTGCGTGTCGACGAGAGCAAGACACGTTTCGTTTTTGCTGCGGGCCCTGCGATTGGACTATTTTTTGCGGCAACACCAATCGAAGGCCAGTCATGTAGCCAGGACTCCCAAAAGACCCTTATAAACCATCATTAATTTCCGTCTGAGTGGGCCACACAGGAAAGGGAACGCCCGTGCGGTCGCTAAGAGCAAAGAACACGACAGATTCGCCTTGTGTCATATCAAGCGCCGGCACAGGAAGTGTGTGATTTCAGCGATGCGGTCGAAACAGCGCATGTTTGCAGGAACACGACAATAACCACCTGAGCAGCTCGCGACATCGCATGCGCCAAATTGCAAGTCCGCCGGCATCCAAACTTCGTGTTATCGCCCTCCCACGGTGGCAACCGGCAGGGCGTTCAGAGCTATAGACCCCACCCCCGAAAGCTGGAAACCGTGTCCCGTAGAAGCTAGTCATCAGGGCAATGGGGGACGCCGTTGTAACTGCAAGCGCGAAACCAATAACCGGCAACCAAAAAACGGCGAGTCGCGTGTGATTACCTGGCGAAAAGGGAAGTTTGGATGTTGGCGAACTACAACAATCATGCGATGTGCTCTCATGGGCAGGTGTTCTTCCCACGGCCACGCGACAACAATGCAATGACACTTTCTGGCAGCTGAGAGAAGTTTCCCGGAGGAGGCCGCGTTGTTCGTTATTTAACGAGGTCATCGTTTCGTGTTGAGGTTCTCGCCACGAAACAAGCGGCGCTCACGCCGAAGAAACGACATCATCATTACAGCGAGCGGTGGTGTCGTTCTCCATCGCGCGCACACAGCGTGTGCATTCTTCGTCCGGGAGCCCACGGATGTCGCGCGCACAGTCCTGGCGTCGGTCGTACGCAATGGGGTAGCGCGTCGCTCACGACCAGCGCCAGGAGCGCGCGCTCAACATCCGTGGGCTCCCGGATGGGTCATGTGCACGCTGTGTGCGCGGGATGGAGAAGACACCAGCTCTCGGGGACTGACGCCGTAGTCTCTTCAGGGAGAGCGGCACAAGTTTTGTGGCGAGAACCTGAACACGGAACGATGACCTCCTCCCGATGATGAATACCATCCCTTTTACGCGCCCACCAACGTCAGCGTAAGAGACAGCCCCTTCACGCCACGTGGATGATCGACACCCTTCGCACGAGGGCTACCTCGCGATGCTTAACACCGACCCTGGTCGCACGCAGCCCATGTGGCACCCGCTTACCGTCAACCACACCCGCCGCGACGAATGTCTCTTCTGCTTGCGCAGTTGGCCCCGCAATGGATTCAAACCATTAGTCATGGAGTTGCAGTCCAATACATCACCTTTATGTTACCTAGCCTTTGATTTGATTGATGAAAAAAAGAAAGGTGCGAAGCAATGAGTTTTTTTCCAATTTTCAAATAAGAGAATTCGTGTTTGACTCCGCGTGGGAGTGTGTTACAATGACTTAGTTTGGCAACAAGTGGAATAAGCAACATCCCTGTTTAAATCATTTTGTAAAATTCGTGTAGTTGCCGCAAAACAGGAACGCAATGGAGTTACAAGTCGTCTGGTCGATCGCGAGGAACGAACGAGTGAGAAGAAAAGGAAACACATAAACCATGTGCCCCAATGCCAACCCCAGCAGGAATCATGGGGTCGATCGCGAGAAACGAACGAGCGAGAAGAAAAGGAAACACAGAAACCATGTGCCCCAATGCCAACCCCAGCAAGAATCATGGGGTCGATCACGAGGAACGAACGAGTGAGAAGAAAAGGAAACAC